GTTGAATGATGCAGATGAATCCTGCGTATTTCTCAAGCATTCACCCATCTATCGTGACTGAGCCGTTCACCTGATTATTGTACACTGTATTTGTTTTTTCTTATCTACCTTCGATCCATTTTTCTTGTTCTAGTTGGCCAGTTCTCTAATTGTAAGCATTACAACTTAATCGATTAAAACTGTGCGATATCAGTGGGATGTCGTTAGGAAATCGCTTGTTCGGAAGCAACCTACCGTGGGTATTGATGCCGTTGTCATCCCATGAAACACTGCTTGCGAACAGGCATTAAGCAGTATCGATGAATTCGTGCACCTTGAAAGTCTAATAATGAACTTCAAAAAATTGGTAATTACCAGTCGGAAGTGGCTTCATAAGAATGATCTCTGAAGTTTGAGTGTCGATATGAACCTAGAAATCACAGTGTGTGACGGATGAAAAGTTGCGACTGATACACAGGCAACGCGGGTCTTTGAATCTGTAAATAACATTCTGAGAATACATTATGCGTCTACTTTGACACTTCTTATGGCATTGGAATAATTGGCACTTATTTGAGAAAGGAGAATATTTCTCAGTAAGTTTATATTCGAAACAAGGGAACACTGGGAATGGGCTGTATCGAGCATTGATGAAAGGGAGCATGATTGTTGCGAAAGAGAGATGAGCACGTAAGCAACGCCATCAGAATCATGAAAAGGTTTTGTAGATCAACCTCTGAATGATTTACCTTAAGGAGGGGACACCTACAAAGTCGTCGAGAAACCCATTCAGGACCGGCTTACTTTTAGATCAACATCGGCGTGCCTCTGCAAAAAGGTTGTTTAATTGTCTAGCAGTTTGCATTATACGTTTCTTATTTGGCGTTTCTTTTTCGGTGGAAATACTATAGAAAGCTACGACAGCAATCCTGTTTCAAGCAAGTACCAAATGATTTTATAATGTACATTTTGAGAGGTACATTAACCGCAAGCAGTTCGTGATCTATTGGATTAAGAGGGCTTTAGAGGTTCTAAGCGTTTGACTCATTAAAGGTCGAAATGTTCTGCGGAGAAACGATCAGTTATGTAGTTCATTAAGTTACAGTAATTAACAATAAGTTACAGAAAATTGATCGTACTGACCAGTTTCTTTTGAGCTTTTAGAGGCGAACACCTCTGAAGGGACTTTTGAAAAAATGTTTGCCGAGTGATTGCTGCAATGTTTGCTATCTTGTAGCATTTGCTACACATGTGCGCAATGAGTGCTTAAATTCGAAGTTGATTTTCAGTTCAGTCAGAAGTATAATTCGACCACACTGATCAGTGAACGTGAATTGGAAGTATAATTGAATCGTTTTAAAGAATTTAGTTCACTGATTATTTTTATTTTCGAATAGGACATGCCCATTCGCGAAAAAAAATGCTCCAAAGAAAATTGAATCGACATATTGGAATGAAAAGATTCATCAATGCAATGTGACTGTTTCAAACGTGCATTATTATTCAAATGATTCATCTGATCAGGGCTATGGCCCGTTCAATCGAAGCCAATGAAAGGTTTCTTAAAGGTTACCGCTGAAGACGGATAATAATTTGCCGCAGGCATTGCTGATGTTCAAAGAAATGTATGGAAGTAGCAAGGAAGCGTTTATGCACCAATTCAATTCAAGACTAATGCTCCTTCCATTATTTTATGCTTTGTTCACTGGAAAATGTTCAGTCGGCTCGGTCGTTATTCATTCTCATGAATGTCTGTGAACGATTTCATCTACTCAACTATTCCATATGCAGTCGTCGTCCGGCCAGAAACGTCGCTTTGCAGCGTCTCATATAGTTTTTTGAAGCCACTAGTTATTGATGATCATAATTTTTGCGCTTCTTAGCACTTCCTGCGATCAGAATCATGTTGCTTTCGCAAATCAATGAAGCAATTCGTGAATTGATGTTATTTTCGAGGTCTTCAATTCAGTAAGAAGAGTTTTCTTGCGAACATAAGCCAAATTCTCAATCCAGAGATTGTCATTCTGGATGAAGTGTTCAAACGTTGAGTATTTTTTAAAATTATTATGAATGTTTTCATATCTTTTTTGTGCTATCCAATAGATTAGCGACCGCTGATGCACATCGCATTAGAGGTTACTAAGGCGTGTTTAAAGAGACAGTAGTCACTGTGCTATGAGGTATAAAAAGCCGTGTGATTTATTTATGCACAACTAAATACATCATAAAAACGGTACAACGCACATCGTTTCACATCTGCTGATAGACGCGTTGTCGACGAATAATAACATGCATACATAAGATATTTTACTTGTTTATTGTTTGTAAATGGATATATGTACGTATGTAATATATGCTAGCGTACTCATAAAATTGTTATTTTATCGCTCTGGTCTCTCGTCTAAGTTGCGCTCTTGCGAGCATATAAGAGTAATGGCTTATGCTTGCACAAACGTTGTTGAAATATCAGACTTCTCTTCTGACTTATTATATTGTTACTGGAATATAACACCCTGCTCTAAAATCAAACGGTTGTAGTGGCAATTAAAACTTTTAACGGTTCTGAAAGGCAATCAATTGTTTTGTTTTTAAACGAAACCAGTGTTGCTAATTTTCTAAAGCTATTATTTATTTCCTTGCGTGTGTGACTTTATTAGATGAATCAGAATGAGGTTCGTGACAATGAGTTGCTTTGCAAATGAGATACGCAAGGACTAGTGCTATGAACAAGCATAATGATCTGCCAGATCAAATGGGCAATAGTGTTCGATAGCGCATAATTGTTCCTGATAAGCTTGTTGACCTTTCTTTTAGTGATATGGCAGTACATTGTATCGGCCCATCAGTGAGGTTTATTACTGCTACGTTATTATATGTTTAAAGAGACAGTAGTCACTGTGCTATCAGGTATAAAAAGTCGTATGATTTATTTACTCGCAACTGATACATCATAAAAACAGAACAACGCACATCGTTTCGCATCTGCATAAAATTCTACGTAAGTCTTTACCTAATGAATCTATTGCTCCAATATTTTCAAATCAATTCGAAATTTTAACCCCATTATCGATCAGTGCAATCGAATTATTATACCATTTTTTCATCTCAACGGAATTCGCTCTTTAAACTACCCATTGAATACTTTTCAAGTGAATACACGGAAGCAATGTCGTAATTTGTTTGTAATTGAAACATTCGTTTTGTCTTACGATTAGTATTTCTTTTCAGTGCATTCATTTCATTAACAGTGTTCTCTGTTGACTTAAGCAAAGATCGGTTTTTATTGTGTCAATGGGTTTGCAGTTCATTCGTACATAATTTATTAACTTGTTTCTTCCGAAAATCCAATCTCTATTTGCACATAAGTCTGAGGCAGTTTCACTTCATTGGCTTCCTTGTCTCGCTCTGAGCAATAGCATTTTTCAAAGACGTCGTTCATCAAAAGTGAGTGTCTACCAACTGCTAATCAAGCTGTCATCTCTATTTATGAACCGTTTGAGTTGTATTGCTGCTATAATTGTTAATTTATGTGATTGCTTTATTATAAATAATTCATTCCCATCCTAACTATTTTCCTTTTGTGTTTTACCGTGTCTTAGAGCAATACTGTAATCTTTTTTTTTNTTTTTTTTTGGAAATTGACAATATTATCGGTCAATTTCTCTGAGCGATTATTTGAAGTAAAGTTACTCGTTGAATCCCCGTTGGAAGCGATTTGGTATTATTCACAACTCGTAGTCTTGAAACTTTCTCGCAAATATTTTGTTGCCGCAAAAGCATTTGTTGATTTGAAACGATTTACGGAAATGAATTGTTTATTTTATGGAAGCACTTCTGAATCACACTTGTGTAAACCCTAAGCAGCTGTAACAAAATCGATTGTCATTCATTGCGCCTTAAGTGTCAATATTCCGATTTATTATTATGCTTACACAACTTTTTTTGCATTATTCTCTCACGCCGAATACGTTACGTAGTCAGTGCTTATCATCCACTTTCTAAGCTAGCCAGCGAAGAAGAGTACTTTCAGTCAGAAGAATACTTTCTTCTCACGTTTTTAGTGCGTGATGATTGGCATTGCAATAGTCATATTCAAACACCCAATTCATGGACAGCCCATAGTAACACTTGTATCGGTCCGTTCACGGACAGGCTTTAAGACTGACACACGATTCTGCATGCGATTCATCATAAATTATTGCTCTATAGTTCCCTTACTAAAAATCGTTCAAAAATTCTACTATTGTTTCTAGAGACCGAACTGCACGTATTGTTTCATCTATTTTGTAGGCCTTTTTCAATTATGTTGTCGAAATCGCTTTGTATGGTAGAGAATAATTTGAAGAATTTGCAATCTGTAATATGTTACATTTTTACGTGAAAAATTGCGATCACTTACCGCGTTGACGTGAAATTTTATTGAGTCGCATATTGTTTCTGAAATGCATCTGGTGATGAAGAATGTTTCAGGTTAGTAACGGATGCTGATATCACCATTCGCACGATTTCCATTCCGTCTAATATTGCTAGTTACGTTATCAGTAATCACGATTGTATGCATCGTTCAAACCATACCGTCGACTGATGAGGAACGTTATGATAATTCCAAAGAAATGCATATAGATCGCGTTAGCTTGAATTTTCACCCGTCTCCTGTTCATCACTTAGACATTCAGCCAAACGCACCGACTAGTTCAACACCGCAAAGTGTTAGACACAAGGAATCAGTGCAGGTACGTGTCTATGCCCACATACGTGATATAGTCTTTCACGATGCTGTGTGTTTTTATCGCAAAAGATTTCATATGTATATAAATGTGGAATCAATCCTTTAGTAAATATATCTGAGTATTGACTGATTAAACAATCGTAAAGCCAATGTTTCGTTTATGCGCTCGTAAGTTGAGTAATGTAATATATGAGCTGAAAGACTGATGTCGGTAGCATGTGATTTTTTGGGTCAGTCTCATTTTGATAAAGCAATTTCGTCGAAATCGCTCAATCGTTGGTGCAAGAAAATTCAAAATCATCGAATTGTTGGATGTAAAAACGTCTCAAAAATGTCTTTAAACCATTTCCAAAGCAGTATTTTAAAGGTGATGTTTCGTATTCAACTGTGAAACTGATGATGAAACTAGGTTTCCATTTTAAATCGTTATAAACATTCGCCTTGTAATGTTTTATTACTACAATTATTGCTGATGAACCACATTTCGTTTGAACTTTTGCTTCCTCTTCATGACTGTGTTCAGCGCAAGTTCTTTTCTGGAACAATTCTTTCTAGCTGGCTTCGTTGTTCTTGCTGAAGACATAAGAGTAATTGTATCATGCAGAAGCATGACAGAGGTTAATAATCTGTCTAATAGTAACTTTAGAGTAACGATCTGACTCTCCCTTCACTGTATGATCTTCTTCCGCACCTACGAAATAATCCGGACGCTCTACGTCCCTCGCTGGTGTACGCAAATCATACGATTCGGAGGAATGCTCGTCTCGTTATTGGGGTGCCTACAGTTCCACGAGACAACGTAACTGTTTCATTGCTGCAATATTTGTCTTGATTGAAAATTGTGATAATTTCATCGCGCCTGATCATCACAATGAACCATGAATTTGAGAGCAAGCGTTTGCTTATCTCTTTTGTATTCGACACCTCTTTTGACATCGATTTCCTTTGTTGCTTATGAACTAATTTCACCACAATATTTTATAGCGCAGTGTCAGATTTCATTTTCCTCCGTTTGTAATCGATAGCGTTTGACATTTGGGAAGATAAAATTTCGACATTTAATCGTTTAGTTTCCGTTGCTGATTTTGAAATGTGGAATCCCGGGAGATTACCTCATCAAATTGTTTCATTGCTGTTTCGGGATGACATTTGCCAATGAAGAACATACCACTTTCGTGAGCGTTTGCATTGAACAGCAAATTTTTTATTGGGAACGAGAACTAACAAGAAATTTTTGTGAAATTTTTTATCGTAACCTTCTCCTTCATTTCACTTTTAGGCTTTTTCAGTTTTCGAGTAAATGGATGATGATTATGAACCCAATAAAATCAAATACGATAGACTCGGATGTGTGTATAATGGAAAGAAACGTGAGATAGAGTTTATGAGGCGGCTGCTCATAAGTAGTTGATAGTGCGCCGAATAATAATAAATCACTCAGGATAGCAATGAGGAAAGATATGAAAATAATTTTAGTACATTGGTTCATACCGTTTTCAGCACTCATATTTGCTTCAAACTCTTCAATCGCTGGCATTTGGTCTTGACGATGTGCAACAACGAAACGCAAATATTGTGATTATGATCGGAAGTAAAGATGGTGCGGATACAACCTCTGTTAAACAGCAAATATCTCTGATCGAAAGTGACTTCAAAGAATTTTTGGACAACGGATTCTTTCATGTGAATTTATCAGCTTGAATGAATCGTTTCAATTTGTTATTCCTCAGTATTTAATGGCACCATTGGGAGTCATTCATCTTAAACTCCTCATTCACTTCCCGTCCCTAATCAATCAAACGACCCGGTGAAGTTTAACTGATCGGTATTGTCGGGCGAGAATTAAACCGATAGGACACATTGTCAAGAAACACCCTAACTTGTTATCTTTTTATCGACGGATTTGTGTGCATCAATTATTTATCTGTTTGATCAGCGATTAGAGCCATTTCGTCCCACATCTTACCAACCACTTCATGCTTGACGTCTTTTTCAGGGAGCCTAGAAAATGACCCGTCTTCATGAAAATTTGATCTCGATTATTGATTTCGCGGTGACAAACGTGTATCATGTTTGTTGGTTTGACTCAGCTAGGCCTATTGTTCTTGCATTTGCACAGCGCAGATAAACGATGCTTGCTATTACAGTCCTATTAACGTTTCAGATAATAGTACCGCCACGAGAATGGTATCCTCCAGATTTGGATTCTATAGAACCAACTCTCGGTGATCCACCACAACGAATGTATTGGAGAACAAAACAAAATCTTGATTATATGTTTCTTCTGTTGTATTGTCAATCCTTAGGTATTTTTTAAACTACCCATTTGAAACAGATGCAATAACTCCCCACGATAGCATTTATCATCGCAAGTATTTTCGTGTGATTAATATCAGCTATTTGTAAGCAGAAATGCACTGACCGTTGAATTGTGGCTGTATCGATGCTACCTAAACGTCACAATTCCTGGCAATCCACTGAAACGCTTCTTGTCAAGATGCTCAAATATATGTAATGTTGAATTAATGCATCAATTTTTCTTAGCTAGCCCTCCACTAAATGTTTGATCCTTGCGGGTATCATGTTCAACCTGGATGCAGTCCACTTTGATCCCACAACGTATGACTTTCCAGGAGAGTATTACTTACAAGTTGAAGATGATATATTGGCGAAAGAACACTATATGGATCGGATTATAAATTTTATCAATGAGAAAGGAAATTTCAAATGGTTTACAGCCGAATTTGCATCACTCGGCTTTATTGGAAAGCTCTTTCACACAAAGGATCTGCTCTATTTGATAAATTATATCGCTTTGTTATATCGGTATAAACCAGTTGACTGGATTTTGGATTCTGTTTTCATGGACAGATATTGTCTTCCGTTCGAGAAGGCAAAACCCTGTTATAAGGTCAGTGCGATATTGAACAAACTTGAGAGTGTTGAACGTCCATTTGATAGAAACATTCAGAAAGTGAATACAGCAGTCAAGATTCTTGTGACCTAAGTGGTTAAAGAATTGAAAAATAAATGATACTGTGACTAAATGCAATATCTTGTTTATTGATTCAACGAACAGAGATTAAAGGAAAGTAGCATCACCGTGAATGAAATGTAATAGCAGTATGTTTAATCGATACTGGTATTTGGTATTTACACTTCTCTTTTTTATGAAATCGCTGATTTCATGAAGAATTGCCGTGGATTGTGAATCTCCGATCGTTTGCTGGAATGATTTAAAGTTGTAGTCACCAAGAACTGTTTTTCTCAAATTTGGTGCTTCGCGAATATAACTAATTTCAGAATGAAAATATCACATCTTTTGAAAAATTCTTTGATTGTCTACTGAAATATAACAGTTTGTAGAGACAAAAAGATTATCGAGTACCGGGTGGGACACTCTTCCAACATATCGGAATCCACTCGTCTCTTGAAGGGAAAATTCAGAAGCTGAAAGAGAAGAACTTCGGTCAATCGAATACCTTCTCAGCTCATACCGACAATCCAAAAGCTGTCGTAAACACCAGTTTAAAGCAATTCAAGGAATACGGTAATTTTAATTTGAATGTAATCGCTAAGAAAGATTCAGATAGTCGTTTGCTGAAATGAAAAAATAGAAGGGAGATTGGTTGGAAAGTGTTTCCAAGTAGATTTCGTTAGCGGTGACTCATAAAATGGTTTCCATTTTGGTCGCCTGTTGAAGCTAGAAAACGAGTGGCACTTGAAAAACTCATGTTAATTCACCAAATATTAATTCAAGTATAGCGTGAAAGTGTTCACTTCCGAAATTAGTCTGAAATGAGGTATTTCCACAAGAACAGTATCTTAATTTTTGCTCTACAGCTAAATGCCGCGAAATTTCAGGTATTCAAAATTTTTATGATGGCCGATCGTTGTTCTGGTCCTCAGTTCCGCCGACCTTTGGAGATTATATCAGCATCCATTTTACTGATCAAGTCCATGTCAAAGGTTGCTGATCTATACATCATTTGATCATCCTATCGGCCACCAATCATCATTCATAATTCCATGTCATTCTTGATCGTCTTATATAATGTAATAACGTTGGTTGCGAATTATGAGAGCAATCAATCAATGAGCTGTCTCTGAAAAGTCTGTCAACCTGAAAACATTTTCAGGATTTATCATCCGTTCGGGCAATCCCGAGCATCCAGATGATAAATTTGACAATAGGACAGTTGTGCTGACGAAGAGTGGTGCAGAAGGCTCGGCATTCGAGAAACTGTGCACGTTCAATGAACGCGGTATTGCACGGCATCACTTTGCTGTGCCGACCTCATTGCAGGCGATTCGTTTGGAGGTGCAAACGAATTACTCGAATTGGTTGTTACTGAGTGAATTGCATATTAGGCATTCGTAGTACTGCTAGTGCACTGCGTGATCTGCAATCAGGCGTAATTCTACCGAAATTTCGTACTGCCTCCATTTCAGTGCAAAGAGACAATCGTCAAACTACTTTTGGGAGACACACAAAACTCCGTCGAACATCTTTTTCTTTGTTTTATACTGACCAATATTCTCTACCAAAATATAATCAAGAAATGATAACCCAGTAATGTTCAAGTTGTTAATGTCGTACTATTCAAAATGCGTTTTTAAAATTGACGTATTAACTGTGATTCTTGAAGCTGTATTCTTAATCAATAATCAAGCTCAATGATGGAATTCAAAATTTCCGGTAGCGTATTTCCTGATTACTCACCAACAACCCGTTATGTCTCCCCATATATTTTGGAAAATTTTCCGGTGCCCCATTTAATGTGATTGTGAGACTTTATGAGCAAATTCGAATCTATTCTTCCACATCATTCGAACTCCATTTTTGTGTTTTATGTTCTCAACTCGTATTGGTGTGATAAGGCTACCGTATTCGTGATTGTTTTAAAGTGCTCGGTCTATCGTTTATCTGATTGCGAAACAAATTCAGTTATGTTGTTCCCAAATTGCAGTATTTGTCCACCATTTTGTGAATTTGACTCAGAAGTCTGATTGTGAGACACTGCATTGTTGGTGCGTTTGTTTTGTGCACAGTCTGTTTGTTGAGTTTAATCGAGAAATAGTTCGGGTCACTCTTTCTGACAGTCACGTTTATTAGAGGTGAGTGCAGCGTGCTGATCCTTGCTTGTTTTTTNTTTTTTACTTCTCCATTTATACCATTAAGTCGATCTCATTTCACTGTCAACTTAGTTTGGATCAACCACTAATTGAAATGATGAAATCGTAGTTCTTCTGGTGAACACCGTTAGATGGACAATCACCAAAGGTAATTTTCCTTGGATCCACGGTTAGAATTGAACCATTCAAAAGTGCTTCTTAAACTATTCGCTGCTAGCTACGTTCACAATGATCTATTTTCCCATCAACAACCATGCCTAATTTCTAAGGTTCACAAATGGTACATTGCCTTATTTGCTGATGACGCTCATTTCGCGCCGTTTGAATATTTTGTTGGAAATGTGTTTTCGTTTTCGTTTTGAGCGCATTTGTAGCAAATTTTAATCATTTTTGTATCGCTCAATTCTGATGATGAATTTTAAAGAACTACGTCTTAGAGGATTATACTGTGCGTTACCCTCGTTTTGTATCGGTCTGCTGTTTTTGCCATTCATTCCTCTGAATCATTCCCATTTTCGTATTACGGGTTTATGTCATAAAATTATGTTGGGAAATAAAGATTTTATGATTGATCGAATTTTTGACTGCTCTGAGCAACAATATGTTTGATAGGTGCACATTTGGGTTTCTTAATTTTCGTTTTCAAGGAAAAATATCTGAAATGAAATTTACTTGTCATTAATCCGTCATAATCATCCGCAGTAATAAGTGGCTACACGAATATGCGACGAGTTGGCGAATAGTAAATTAAGAATACGTTTTCAGCGAATTTGATTGCTGATTGCGAGCATTTTGAGATAGTTTCAACAAATTCGTGATATTGCACTCCATTTTGATTTTATTCAAGCATTGACTTGTTTGTTAAATGTTCCAGCATTCACCACTGAGTGAATGCTTAACAGAGAATTTGGAAACCCTTACAACATTCGAGTGAATGTACAGTTCGATGTAGGGGTTCAGAGTTGAAACTTTATTTTTACAGGTCATCATTTACATATGGGTCATGTTGTTCATAACTATGAAAATGAACCTAAAATTGAAGAGATAAGAAAGGGATCTATGGATGTCGAATGGATGGATATGAACGCATGCTATGATGGAAACATGAAATTTACTTTGGTTGAACAATAAAATTTGCCAATGAAATAATGATTGAGCAATAAATAATATTCACTTTTTTGTGGTGTAATGTTGGTGTTGTATGATAAATGAGTGCTGTAATTCCAGCAAAATGATGCAATTGGCATGAATATGTTCTCGTATTTATCAAGAATGTATGTATGAATGCAAAGATATAAATTTAAGGAGGACAGGTTTACGAGTATGGTCGAAGAATGATGAATGAGTATTTATCAATATGATCATTCTTCAAATGACAGGTTTGTGTTGATGACTTTGTTAATGCTCATCGTTTCATATTTGATGAGCTGTTGCCTGAAATGTTATTGCAGTTTTGAGATTTCCCTTGGAAGACAATGACATGCTCTTTCACTTCTATGCGCATTCCACTTTTTGGGCTATTCGAATGAAGCTAACATTGTCAGCGAGTGGTTACAACAGTATCGAATCCATTGAATAACGCCATCAGTTCGAAAACGTATTGGCGCTTAAGAATAGAAGCGAACGAGTTGATCGGTTTAAAAAATTCCGCGTTTTTTTTTTCAGAGAAACTTCGACCCCACTTGCAGTCGTTGCATTCTGGAAATTTGATGTGGATGTGGATCTAATGAATGTATTCTATTCACCATTAAATACTTGAAATTTATCGTGGTTTGGAATAAGAAGATTGCGAACAGATTGGTGAGATGATCGAATGGATACAATTGGAATTTGAATGGCACGATGTGAAGACGCCTTTAATTCTTTCAATATGGTTGTTCTGCATCGTACTCGCTAAAATTGGTGATTGTTAACGTATGTGAATATAGGTGGGCAGACGGACCTTTTGGGACGTTGTTTCAGAATAAAGTTTGTACAATGAGGTTCCTTATTTTGACCAAAAATACCATGAAATCTATGCGTATGTTGAAAGAATTAATAAGAAACCTATATGAGAGAACTATAGAATTGTGATGAAATGCAGCAGGATATCACGTGATTCAAATTATGTGAAATTGTTGGTATGATTATATTTTCAGTATTCCATTCAAATGAACGTCTTGCCTCACTATTTCCTGATTCAGCGATTCTTGTTGTTCTCGGTCTAGCAGCAGGCGCTGTTTTGGATCGTTTCTGGCCACATGAACTCTATCTTCATCCAGGTGCGAATTCTTTGGTCTGCTCAAATTCTTTTCTGATTAAAATTTATGATATATAGCTTTCGAATTGTTTTCTGATTTTTTAGAAAACATTTCTATTATTTAAGCTATCACGGAATTTGATCGAATTATGTGATTTGAATGAATGTTTCAGATCTATTCTTTTTGTATTTATTGCCCCCGATAGCTCTCGAAGCTGGATATTTTCTTCCGAGAAGAGAATTTTTTCGCAATATTGGTACGATAACACTATATGCGGTAATCGGAACTCTGTGGAATATAATTTCAATCGGTATTTGATTACATTTGGCTCTTAAATACAAATGAATCTGTGTAATGCCATTAACCGAATATCACCATAATCACACTATTAATTTCCCAATAATCTCAATTCTATAATTCTCAATAAAAGCTTATTTTCACTGACTTCCGTCAACGTTACCCTCAGAAGTTGATTCTGACATCTTTTCATTGCTCGAATTGAGGAGATACGACAATTGCAGGCATTGTATTATATCTGTTCTCACCGTATTACTCGCGATCAGTGCCGTTTATCGATTTACTTCTATTCGCTACATTAATATCAGCTGTTGATCCAGTCGCAGTTTTGAGTGTCTTCGAAGAAATCAAAGTCAATAAACTTCTTCATATTTGTGTTTTTGGAGAATCGCTCTTGAACGATGCCGTTACCATTGTTAGTTTTTGAATTCCATGTTCATGAAGTTCATATTCATAGAACAAATCGTCTTATTATTCAGTTTTTTTCTTAATCGATGTTTAGAAGTATTTTTCATTCACGTATTTTGATTGCTCAGCTCCACATTCTTATTGGTTTGATCTGAGATCAAACCTTTGATCTGAGTTCCAGTCAATTCGTTTTTCTTTTCCGCTTTAGCGACTAATGTTTAGAAGCAGTAAACATTTAATTGTGTTTACACTATCTGAGGTTCTTTACCATGCACTTAGTGCGATGGCTCGCATTGGACCTGAACACTTGGAGACGGAAGACTTCGTTAAGGCATCACTCTCATTCTTCCTCGTTGTATTTGGAGGCATAGCGATTGGCATGGTTTGGGCTGCTATCACAGGACTTACAACACGGTAACTGACTGACGTAATTCTGTCGGATGCGGCACAGATGCCAGCCATACGATAATGTCCTTCTCAAACCAACTGATATGATCCTTTTAATTTTGTGTAACGTTTTTTAAGCTTATCGTTCACATTTTTTCGTTTACTGCATATATGAAATGCAGAGTGACGGTACTCAGGGCCTATCGAGGAGAAATGTGTAAATAAATATTGAATATTCCAAAATAAATATCTATTTTGAGGAAAAAAGCCACTCCAAATTCAGTCATTATTTCCACAATGAACAGTGATTGTGACTTTTTTTTGGCGTTCAAACTGATCATGTGATCATTGTTCATCAATCAAATTTAGTTGTCGTTTCCCATATTCATTAATTTATACGATTTCCCTACGGTTGAGAGACTCCAACAGTTGGTCTAATTTCATCATTTCATTAACTCGTTAGTTGATCAAATAATGTGCTCTGTTGGCTATTCACTTCCTTGTTGAGGGCATCAACTGAAATATATCAAAAAACTCTATCGACCGTAGCACATCATTTTTTATTCGCATTATAAGCAAAACCATAAACAATAAATCTTACGTTCTCCGATCCTCAACAAAACCTCTTTCAGGTTCTCGAATAAAGTGCAAGTGGTGCAACCAATGATATGCTTGTTATTCCCTTATCTTGCATATCTCATTTCCGAGAGTGTTCATATGTCAGGCATCCTCGCGTATGTGACACTCTATCATAATCTATAATTGTTCTTTCTGCTGCATTGAATAATGTTGTTCATTTTATTTATTGAAGCATTGCTGCAAAGAGTCAGATAGAGAGATATGAACCGCAAAAACTTTTCGCACTCTCAAAATACCGAATATATAATACATCGACAAATATCCGCTCAATTCAGAAAATAGCCTTCATCTGCAAAGGAAAATGAACGTTCTATAAAGAGGGCGCTCATTTCACATGCTTACCCGAGCCATTCATTAGAGTCCCATCGCATGGCTAGGACTTGATTTGCTCAATGCAACTTTTTATGATTCACTCATAGTGTACTTATTTTTATAGGATCGTTGTGTGTGGACTGATGATGAAAAGGTTCGTGAAAGGAAATCTATCCGAAAAATCACTCGTCACTGTCACCTACTTTCTTAAAACTCTTTCGTCAAGGTGCGATCTCAAATTGAGCACTGTGCACTTTCGTTCTCTCTTTTCATGAATCATTTGCTTGATCATCCTTCAATTATGATCACCTTCGCGTGGCGTTCTTATTGCACGTCACCATTCATAACCCTTCCATTTCAGATAATTCTCATTATTTCAAACCGTCAATTACCGCTTTCTTAAAACTGAGTGGCTTCTGATTGGATAAAATGAATTCGAAGCTTATTGCTTGCGTTCATTACCGATTGGTTTTGGGATGATGTTCATTGAAGTGGGAAAATACCTCCAGATCACTTCGAATTGTAAATTCAAATTAATTTAGCGAATTTTATTGTTACGAGACAAAATCTGTTAGATGTCAGTATGTTGACGTGAGGGCAGGATTTCGTTCAAGTAGAGTAACACAAATTAATGACATCTTCCAAATACTGCAGCACTTTGCATCCGTACATCCCCTTCAAATCCCTCATTCCGACAGAGAATATTCATGTCCAGATTGCGGAATTTACTGATCATTTGATTTTGTAGCTGTGAATCAATAATTTTCGTTTTTCTGGGACTATCAACTGTTTCAAAGAAACACAACTGGGATATAATATTCACTGCAGTTACTTTGACAGCATGTTTAGTTTGCCGTTTCATTGGTCAGTGGTGGCTATTTTCATTCTTTTAAACTTATTTGGTCAATCGTATTTGATGAGTCATCGATTTTTGGCGACAAATCTTCAATCAAATAATCCGCCGAAATTCACACTTTAAAATTAAGTGTTTCATTAAGTAAGCCAAAGATCAAGCTTGATACATGCAAAAGGTACTGCAATAAGAACAGTGTTTGAAGGTACATTTGTTCTGACGTATATTGCAAATCGCCATCGAGTGGAAAAGATTCGTTTGGTGGATCAGTTCATAATGTCTTACGGCGGACTTCGAGGTGCGATTTGCTATGGTCTTGCGATGACACTGGATAAAGACGTCGTTTTAGCAAAGGATATGTTCGTCTCAACGACAGTGATCGTGATTGCGTTCACTGTATTCATACAGGTTATTGCGAACGCAATCGATCCCCCATTAAGAGACTGCTAATTTGCACACATGTGCCACCCGTTCAAAATTGATCGCTGAACCTCACGTAATCTATAAGATTTCATTTGAAATAAATTGATTACTCATCCCAATCGTTGCACTCAAATGAATTTTTTTACAGGGCACTACGATAAAACCACTCGTGAAATTACTTGATGTCAAAACAGAGGAGATAAGGGAAGTAACCGTTACTGAGCAGCTCCTTAGTGATGTGAGAAATATTCATCTTTTTTTTTCTTCAAAACGATCGGAGATTATATTGTGTATTTTTGAAAGGAATAGAAATTTAATGGTTCATTTGATGAACTCACATCTCCTTCTTAATGAATTTCGATGAACAACAGCGCACAAGTGAAATTCGATATCGATATGCAATGCTTCTTTCCAACTTCATGATTAAAATATTCTTCATCGATCCCTAATCCTTGTTTTCAAAAAGTGGGTTTCTCTCAGGCTCAGGACGATATAATGGCTGGAATTGAAGCAATACTTGGTGTGCAAGGCCCGAATATGGTATGAACTCGCTATGTTTATCTTTCAAAATATAAATTTCATTTTAACGATTCGTTGACAGCTTCTGTACCAAATCTGGTAACGCGAAGAATCAGTGCACATTCGCTCATGCAAAATATTTTCATATTCAGTGTTTTGATGCCTAAGGCTCGAATTGCAGATGAGACGTCGTGTGTCACTATTCAACTCGAATTACGTGCAACCGTGCATGATGAGAATACCGACATGTCGCGCACAACGCCTCATTTCAAGGATTATCTCAAGCAACACACCAAAAACAAGTTCTATTACTATGAGTAACAGTAATAACAACATCAGAATTAATAGCCGCAGTAATAACAACATTTTGAATAGCACTGATAGTAATTATAATGTTGCTTAATGTTGTGATCACATTAAAAAACTAATTCACAAATTTTCATTTAGTGACTTTCTATGTTTAGTTGACATGACTTGTAATATTTTTCAAAATGTAAATTCTATACTACCTCAATAAAGGATCGATTATGTAATTGATTTCCTTGTGACACTAGACAAGTATTGAGTGCAATAATGACAGCTGCAGTAGCAGTCGTTTCAAAAATGATCTCAATAGATCGTACGAAACACATAATATTTATCGTGAACTAATTACAAAAAGCATGCATATCTAGCGTAAGCAGTACACTTCTCGAGAAACGATCAAAACAAACTTATTTGACGAACTCTAAGTGATTTGGAAATGAAGCATTCATAATCAAATTATTTTGCTTCAATACTTCAAGCAATCGCGCCCAATTTCATAAAACAATAACGTATTAATCGTTGGGATGCTCCCTTCAAATCATGAGAATATTCGCATTCGTAACATACAGAAGCTAATCACAATAATGCGAGTCCTCGCGCATATAACATTTAAAAATTAATTGAATTTTCGGACGAAATGCTGGAGAGTCGATTGAGTGTGATACAAATAATCACTGAGCAGTGCTCAAAAAACATTGCCTCTCGACAAAAAAGAACATTCATTCAACGCATTGAGCGAAGTCGTCCGAAACGAATTAATACTTGCGAACGCGAATGAAATTAGTAACACCGTTATTAAAATACATAACATAATATACAGTTAAATGCTTTCTTCAATGAACCATGCTCATCGTCATTTCATTACTTTCGCAATTCCGGCAACTGCCTCTTCAGGTGCTTCCGATAACGTTATACGGAAGAAACCTTAAAAACACCAATCATTACAAAAAGGTACCATTGCGATCAAATTCTGAGCTGATTTATGATGAACAATGTTTCTTTTCGGTTTTTTGTGCATATGGATAAATCTTATTCATTATGAATGCGAGTGCTTCAAAATGTCGACTGGGAGGACCACAGGCAATATGTTATAAATTGAGTCTAAACCTTCATCCGTTATACTTAACAAGCTTATTCAACTGTCGGGTAACTATTGACAGTCTGAAAACTAGTCTCGTGTTAGCGAATCTATAAATGCACGAAAAATGGAAACATTCATGAAATGAACACAAAGTGAGGAGACAATCGAACCATACTCTCCCCAGTCACGACCCCATGTGTTCATATAAAGCCAGTATTTTTCATCGCTCTCTTCGCCCCAGCCAATCAGCTTCGCACAATGTCCGTACAGTTCTTGCGCTCCAGGAAACGTGAACGGTTGATAAATACCTTAATCAGATGACTAACCGCTAATGGAATACTGGTTGAACTGATTAGAAACCAAAGACTTATGAATCGACTGAGATATTCAAAACGAATTATCTCAATATTTTCAACATCACATCTATTTCTGGTGTTCAACATCGATGGGTTTCAACTCTCAAATCATTCCATCAGTTTTAGGGCTAACTATGTGAATTATTCTCCGAAAACATTACTTGCGATCATTAGAGCAGAAATTCGCTGTCTAAAGCAATCAAATTTTTGAAATATCCCAGTATGACACTAAGAAATAACTCACCCGAACTGTAGTGTTGAAAATCATCGTAAACAGTGAAACAAGCAAGCACCGGACCATACAAATATATTTCACGTTTTAGCATTTCAACTGCGTCACCTAAAAGTATACATATCTGTCGAGGTTTTCAACTTCAGCTCCCCTCTCAAATGCATGATATCATGAAATTGTTATTTTGTTGTTGAAGTATCAAACTATAATTTTCAATATTAATAATTACTATAAGAAGTAAAGGTATTCGTCATTCATTGTTTCTTATCAGCTCATGATATTTCATGCAATGAAATTCGCTTCCTTCAGCTGAACTCTTGCATGGATTTATGGTTCTACTATAAAACTTGTTTTGAAACAATGTATGATGAAAAATACACATTTGATCATATCAGAACTAACTTTCAGGAATAATCTTCCGGATAGTTGACTGTATAATTGGTGTTGTTTCACTACTTCCTTTGTCCGCACGAATCCAGTATGCTGATGCGCCTCAAATTCACCAATAGTTCATCATCATTTGTACATTCAGTTTTAGCAGCAATTTGATTGACCCTACATTGGTTAGTTAACCAGAATCGTGATTTGTTCTTTCGTACGTAATAATGCGTTTGTCATTAAAATAGGATCACAGAAAATATCATTGATTAGAGCAATCACCCTTTCCTCACTGTTCCTCGTTCATTTTTAAGTAATTTTTAAATTAAGATACTCCAAATCAATTGTATGAGTGTCAGGTGACCTGTTGTGATATATCTGCAGCGAATATGAAAAGCAGTGGACAGTGAACGCGTAATAGTGAAGAGATTAAGTATATTGATTAATTCTAAACGAACCCTTGGTTAGGTCATCATCGTACTGTTTTGCATACAGATCTTGACATTTTTTCTCACAGTGCGGTGTATTCTCTTTCTGATAAAATTCCACAGAACATGGAATACCACAGTCCGCTGGCACGACATACGGCTTGCATCCTTCGGAACTACCATAATTGCCACCTTGAAAGTGCTATTTTAATGGTTTGTGCCCCCTAATAAATTTGATTTTCTCTGGTACTTCCATTCACTTATCTATCGTCACTCTCGGAGTATTTCCATGTTCCATGAATCAAAAGCTCCGATATTCACGTGCTCTGTTACTTGAAGATACACCGGTTCAACAATTTTACGATCCTACACGAAAGGTGGAACCATCAGTTCATACTTGCATCAGTATAATGCACACAACAATATACTGGAACGAGTTGAATTTCTCGAGAAAAAATATTCAAGCACAAACCAGTAACGATGCCATGCTCCTTCCAATGCGTAAACGCTGACAGAGCCCAATGAGAGCCTTGACATCTGGAAAAGTAGGATTCATTGTTCTGCTTCAATGAACTGACATTACTCTGCACTAGTATTATGGAAACGAATCAGTGTTATTGCGGCAATTAGTGAATGGCGAATGCTCACGAAATATATCAGAACGAAGGTTTGAATTACTGAGACACTGGAGTACTACTCAAAAGACTGCAACCAAGGTTTCTCAATTACCACAATCGATTCATTAGAAAGCAAACTGAACGTTATCAAATGAATAAAAAGGCTGAATAAAAAATAGTACGATCAAGATGTAAAGGTTTAATCGTCGAAGCAAAAATTGATGGTTATTAACTGTGCTCACAACCGATTGAGGTGCATTTCATGATTCACACTCAAACAGAGCAAGGAAATAGAAGAAAAACGTTCGAAGAAATAAAGGAATTTACCCTCCGCATTCAGTACAACAAGAAGTTAAATCTTGCGCTGAGACTTGCGATTGCAGTGTGTAGTTTGAAGCAACGCATATACGATCTGACATAACTGAGGTAGCTGACATTGCCTAGAAATTCTCATACTCACGCATTTAAAATAATTTGAAGCAGAGAAATAGGACTGAATTTGGAGCCTGATTCCGCAATATTGAAACCAGCCAATATAATCCTATCTATGCCGTGTTTCGGCTGCGAACATTCCAAATTTTCTGGTATCAAATACCCCACAACAAGTTGGTTGTCACTAATAAATCCGCCCTTTCCCCTATTATATTCCCACTTTGCAAACAAATATTTTTTCAAGCAATTAAAAAACATGATCCTCAACTGGAGTAGAAGTTAGCAGTTTTCAAATAATTGATCACTCACTGAAATCGTTGACTACGTTTAGTAATCAAAAAAAGGAGATAAAATCTCAGTACAAACCCAACAAGAGCCACATCCACCTTGATTTGCCACTTGATGTACAGACCAGCACAATGGCCATCGTTCACGTGAATCAAAATTTTTCGGTAGTGTCACCGAATGCTGTCTCAACGCCTGAATAACGATTCAACGATGCTAAGGACCAGCATTAATTAATCATTACGAAAACTTGCTGGAAACAATTTCACGATTCGTGGAAACTGTTCGACCCAATGTCATTTCGAAAAAAAATTATCAATACCGAATGAGTTTTCCAAGCAATTTTTTTAATCCACGTTTTCAGTATGGTTCCTCTTTAGCGAAGCTTACTTGTATAACCTCAAATCATTACTGAGTTAATGGTTATTCGCTGATGGAATAACTACGACGTTCAACCTACAATTAAATAGATTGTTATATCCGGACTGATCTAAATGTTCGACAATAAGGTTAGCGATACAAATTGGGGATGCACGTCCGATTTGTACCTATCTGACCGATACAAATCAGACTCACATCTCTAATAAAATCACAAAGCCCGATAAGATGAAGTGAATAGTCCGAGAGCAGGAAGAAATTTAAACACATACACCTTTCATCATGTTTTTTAGCTTAATTTGTACGATCCGTTCCCATCCACTGTTTCCTCCTTTCTTACCCTTAACACCTACGTGATATCAACTGTTGATAATTTTATAGTCCTACTTCATACCACTTAACTTCTTATCCGTCGATTACGAGAATTTAGTGTTGTAAGACGCACTTTTCCTAGTTTTTCATTCCTCTTTTCATCCATTCCTTCTTATCTTCCATTACGCTGATATTCGACTTGAATGTCATTTTACACAATCTTCCTGAGCATACACTCAGTTATCACCATGTCGTCATCAGAAAAACTGATGAAAACGAGCAGAAATGAATTTACGGAAGCAATATTTGGAAGCGACTGATTGAGTCAACATTTCTCAGCGTGTTTGTGATGTCAACACTATCAAACTTTTCTATTATCGATACACAATTCATCGAATGTTATCGTACAGACTGATCAACACTGATCAGAACTGTTTTGATGTGCTAATGCGCGTATCGCTAATATACGGCCTTAGTTCACAATCAGCTGGAAACATTCGATGACAGTTTAAATGTAAGAGAAATGTGGAGAGTAAGTTTGAACTTACCCTCAAGTGAGTTTCAGTATCAGCAAATAACTGCTCATTATTCATCTTTTGATTATGATCAGCGAGCTGCGCCATTTCACCTATATCCATTTGTTGAGTTTCCTTTATCCTCGACGCAAAGCGATTGTATTTTGCCTGCAAACTATGTGTTCATCTTGGTAACAAATACTACAGTAACACATTCATTTCTCCTATAGAAATACATGGCTTCATCGCAAGGATAAACAGATTGTTCACTGATTCCATATCAAATCACCAGTCATTGGCACTTAAATCTCCACAGTTCTGAAGTTTCTAATCGTAATATTGATAGTTTCTCCTGGTATTCGGATACGTTATTGAACTTCCCACGTCACCTCTTCTAGACGAAACGTGTATATCTTCTTCGGAAACTTTTAACAACATTTACGCAGCGTCGATCACCGTATTGATCGTGAACGACCAAGAGGGAGAGGTATATTCTGAGGTGGACGAAATTGGGTTACGTACTTTGCTTATTGTTAGTAGGGATAATGTAACGAAGTTGAACGTTCTCAGTGTGATTGATGCTCTGGCGTTAGCTTTTTTATATATACTGGAAACGTGATGATGGTATTTCAACCTTGGGTTGCTTCTGCCTTGATCTTGAATGAATGAGGAGGGAGCTGATTCTTTGTTCTGGATGTAGAAAGGGCTAATTATTCGGATTATTCTACTAATCCTAGTCAATTCTAACTGTTCTGGAGCTAGCGGTGAAAGCCAATTTGATGACTATTGGTTTATGAAATTGAATATAGTTTATGAATTGTTAGAGAACGTGACGACCTTAACATCATCTGCGAAAATGAGTCATATTGAGTCTGGAAGACAGCACTCTGGAAGATTTTTAGTAAGAAAGTGAAGAAAGCTCTGAGAAACGTTACTATTGATGTGTTCTGACGAACTGAACGAATCAGTAACTTGTACTATTATAAAATGGTTTATAAGAATGTCTCGGATCCAATTGTATAGATAACCTAGCATGCCATATGCTTGTAATTTTTAGCATAATTCAGGTATGCATGTCGAAATATGTAGAACCAGCGCAGCTTCCCATGTCTAAATCAAATATCCAATTTTGCTGAGATCTATGTGAAACCGCGGTGGTTGATTTCTTGTCCAAAAAGGCACATTGGATGAGGTTTTCCTCAGTCTAGCTGCAGTTATTTTTCCAAATACTTTAGCGATACAATAAGGTCCAAACGATCCAGAATTTCAGACGAAATCCTCACCTTGTTGATGTTCTCTAAAGGGAATGAGAAAGCGTAATGTGAGCTGTTGCCCGCTCACTGTTTTTCATCTTTGAATTTTGTTGTCATTGATGGAATATCGAAGTTTGTTCTTATTACTGACTGGTGCTTATTGTTGGAATGATTATCTGTTGATGAATGACTCAATTAAAATTTTGAACTGTTTAATGGCGTAATAAAGCTTTACCCCGGAGAAATACATTGTGCAGCTGCAAATTTTGAGGGAAGGGTCGAAAGTAGCGATTAGCGGAATAATTTTGCTAAGCGGTGTCTTAGTGAAAAATTTTCGCTACATTTTCGGATGAGCTGCAATTTCAGCGAAAAGTTTCCGCTGAATTATCGGCGATAACGGCGATGGCGATTCATTTTTAGCAGAAAAAAANAAAAAAATATTTTTAGCCAATTAGCGATCAGCGGAGCTGGTTTTTTTCAGCAGTATGCCCGTTACTGTGTGCATGCAATGGTCTAGTTTTTGCGACGTAAACACAATTTTCAAGCATCATTGGTTTTGTAAAACAATATCGAAAACCTCTTTGAGTCCTTTTAGTGGTTACTTAATGATCAAACGATAGACGTTGTAAAGCTCGGCTAGATGTGTTTGCTCTGATTTCCTGGGTTTTCGTACACCGACTGGCACTGGAACCACTGAGTTGTAATGACGATTCGTTTAATTGATCATAAAGGAGGTCGCTTGCGCGCTCACTCTTAAATACTCAATTTCCGAAATGAGTTCATTTTGATCAGATAAAGTACCTTCCAAGTGGAATTGGATAAACTGTTAACATAGTTGACAATTCGCATGTGATATTCAACATCATCATCATCTTGATAGTGCCGCTGTCGATTCCGGTTATATCTCACACCGGAACTTGAACGAATTGTTTCATTTATTATACAAACTGAAATCATTCAGCAATAAAATGACGTGCTTTGAGAAATTTTCAAATGAACATCCGAAGTCATTTATTACATCCTGTTTCACCCAACAACTATTCAATCATTACGCATCCAGTCATTTTTTACAGTTTGTTCGCTTATGCATTTCGTAATAAACTATCATTTATGTTAGCTGAAAAAGAATGACTTCCGATGAAATGTTCTAGAGAAATGATCGATTATGCATATTAAAAGTGTTCATGTCAATTCAGTGCTTTCTCTACAGCGTTACGTACGAGAGTGGTGATTATATATCAACTTGATGAATAGAGACGACCAACCAAGAATTGTTATGAGTAGGCTTATTCCGAGACCAATTATGATGAGAACAGCACAAGAAGTACGTTTAGATCGTTGCCAAAACCTTTTTCGACGTTTTTTAGTGATGATAACTGCATCAAGAGCGCTTGCATCGCTTGTAAACGCCGCACCGTCTCGTTCATTGTTTCCGTTTCTTTCTGAATTCACTCAAATGCCTCATGAAAATATCCACAACATCACATTCATTCTGCTAAAGTGAAATGAAAAACTCGATAGTTTGTGCTCATTTCATATGATTGTTTAAAGAGGCAATGAAACCAAACAAAGGAATAATGATTATAAGAGAAACATTCCCCACTGGAAGAAAAGTATTGCTTTTCGTATCAAATTTCGAGCGATGTTTGTTTGCTTTAGATAAAATGATATTATTAAGATGCCATTTATGCATAANAATTCCTTCATAACATTCTATGAAGGAAAACATCCAGTACAATAAGAGCAATTCGACTGAAATATTCATTTTTCAATGATTGCCGCAAAAGCAAGTGCTCAAAGGAGTGATGTAATCCGAAGTTTCTTCAGTGCCATCTTATCACTCCATGAAGAGGAGTGTGAGAAATAATTCATTTAATGCCCAATGTAAGAACGGTGAGGGTGTCTCAAAAAGAATGTAATTATAACAACAACAAAGACAGCAATTAAATAACGTCACTTACCACAAGCGACAAGAGTTTGCTGAACGGAACATTCCGTATCGCACATAACTGAATGCCAATCGCGGCCAATCTATTACTTGTTTTGATTATTTGACAATTTGCTGTGATTCTACCTCAACCATATTCATCACACGTTCATCACTGCTTCATATTTTCATTGATTTATTACTTTTGGCTATAATTGCGAATGAAATTCTACGTAGCAGTCTATAGAATAATCTATTCAGTGTAAAGTCGATAATGTTTTCTTTCTCAAAAGGAACAAAGGCACACAAAGAAAATGGATCTGTAAAGAAATTATGTTCGAATAAACATTCACTATCAGTTATCCTTAGGTTTGAAAGACGAATAAAATCAACTTTATTATGACTATGAAAAGGTCTCCATCGGAGTGATTGCAAAACTGGCTTATTGCATTTTGATATTGTACAAATGTATTCTTAAGTTGTCAGATAAAATTTTGGTTGAGACGGTAGTCCTCAGACCTCAGATTTATTGCTGAGCAAAAAAATCCTCTGGAACTTGATTATTTAGCAAGGATTGGAACAATTTCAAGATGAATGATACTATCGATACACGTTTAGCACTGTGAAAGATGGGTTGTATTTCCATAACTGATAGTGAATTGAAACGGAAGAAGAAGCGTCGACGACACTGGATAACAATAAAAAGATGTCATCATTTCATGCAAGATGAAATAATAACTCAAAGACTGTACATCCTATAAATTGATATTTCGTTTCAGATAGAGGCGGAGGAAAGTGGCGGTAGGAGGGATGTAATGTTTGGCTCTTAACTGAATGAGGACCACTTCGAATTACCAAAACAAAATGGTGAACAATGAGCGCTTTTTGTTCGTTTCCATATTTCAAGACGAAATGCCATGAACACAGCGTTGTTTTCTCCCCTCGAAAATGCATCAAATTTAGCTCTTAACTGCCATTTCTATCATTGTTTCAAAAACCAAGTCAATTGTATTTGATTGCTGCTTCATTATTCGAAACAAGATAGGCTTGTCTCAAGCACTAGCGTAATCCAGGGCTGAACATAAAATCTCACTCACATTCATAAAAGAATCCTTAGCCGATAAAACGGAAATAATGGTTTCAGAAACCCTTGATTATGTTTTATTATTATTAGCGACGACGAGCTACTTCATTTTCAAAGATGTCTGCGTTGACTTTTACAAAAAAATCATCCGTCAGAGTAATTTGCGTGTGATACAAAGTATTTCCAACGAACTAAAAAAGCGGATTGAGAACACGAAAGAACTCGAGAGTGCATTTCGATGAATGCATTGTTGAACTGGGAAATTTCCCGATCACATGATTAGTGCAAAGTATAATAGCATATAACAGCGGCTCATTATTCAAATTGTTCTCTGTGGAATTAAAAATACTGTTATGAGCTGACCGCAAACAACTAACTGCATTTGCAGACAACTAACTGGACTACGGAGCAATGCTTCGTCAACACATCAATATGTGGGAAACCAAAAAAAATTGCGAGAATAGCGTGAAGCCACTATCTCGAATTCAGTCATTTTCCAACGTGATGTGCATAGTCGTGCATCCTAATTTCAGTTATTTCAGTTGGAATTAATGAGAATGCGACAAAATGCAATATTTAAAATAAACTGATAACTACTGAATACGTAATAAAGCGAGAGTAAATTAGAATTTTCGTTCATTCCCAAATGAAACAAACATTCATTTTTCGGTTCCAACTATCCATCCATAAATTATTCACTGGAAATGGGAACAATAAATCTCAATCGATCTTATTCCAGTTATGTCACTCGATATCTCCTCTATTTCCTTTCGTTTTTCTTACGTTCCCCATTCGAATGACATCTCGCCGTTTTCAATGATTTATGGCAATTCGCTGATGAAGTTGTTCTACAAAATATGATGTATGTGATTGACATGCATTCTCGGAATGCTTCACTGCGATC